TTTTTTAATCATATTTGTTTCTGTTTGGAAGCTGGTTGAATGGTGTCTCATTTAAATGCTGATTTCCCTTGACAGCTCATATCCTAAGGTATACACCGCCAGCTTTTGGATGGGCGCATTCCAGGGCCCAACCGCTAAAAAACACCGATTGTGGTCGAGCAGCTGGCCCTTACTGGAGGGAATCAACAACGGTGGTGGCTATTAAACAGTACATTTTATGATTTTTGATCGTTTCGTTTCTCACCATCCTCGGCGGCTTTCTGTGCCAGCTCCGCCAACGTTTCTGCAAACATGGAGGTGTATGTCCTTGGACCATGTCAAGCGACCCATCGCAAAAACGCGTTCAATATTGGAATTACACAGTCCGACAAAAAACATTCTATATTTTGCTGGCTAGGAACTGGGATGGGCGCAATTTGTCCTTCAACCGCCAGCGCTGAACAACGCCACACTTGTTTTTGTATTTCTTGACCAGCGGCCCCTTTGGCAAAAAGGCCGCGTTGCCGTTTCAGACGCTTTGACATGGCCCTCTGATGTCTCACGGCAAAGAAGAGCCGAGTGAGCACAAAAGGCGCCCAATTCCAAGCTTTGGAAGACAAATGAATTCCCTAGTTCTTCAGCAGGTGGCATCCGACACATTCATTGCCTGCTTTCAATTGCCGATCCAACCCTGGCTCATTGCCTTTCGAATGTTGATTGGTTGAAAATCTCTCGTCCCCATTGAGTACCAAAAGGTCGCGCGAATAGCGTCAATAGTGAACTGCTTTTACAGAGAATTCAGTCGGCAGGGCCTAGGAAGCGATCGCGGATCCTTCTGCAACAGTTGAATGTTGAAAGACATGACAGGGGGCCATTCAGGGCTTTGCAGTGAGGACTCCTTAGCAAGGGCTGGCAGATCTAGTGAAACACAAACTCGCTGGACTGGACAGATTGCGTTTGCAAGTCCCTTTTATGGCCGTGACACTTTGAAAGTAGCAGCCTCGCATAGCATTGCCCACAATCTATTCTGCGCAGCTCTCGCGAAAAAACTGTCGATACCCCTGGCAAATTCTGAACTAAGACGCTGCTCTCAAAGAGCTCAGAGACCCAAACGTCCCGAACCATCATCCTCAACCTTCTCCTTCTCGTCGTGGCTGTTTCGTAGGGGAGCCTTCCTCTTGTTGGGAGGCTTCTGTGGAACAACATTTGTGTGGTCGGTAGCCCCGACCAGCTTCCAAGCAATCATGGCCTGGTTGTCCTTCTTGATGTTCAGCAACTTCACGTAGGCTCCCTCAATGCGAGAAGAAATACATTGGAGGCTGTAGAGCGTCTTTTAGCATTGCCCCGAGGAGTTTTGTGTTTTTTTGACACAACGGTCATCAGATCGTGGCAACGCTCATGACATGATTGACAGACGGCGCGCCTCAGTCCAAGAGTGTGGGACGAAGAAAGTTGTTGGATGAAATACAAACAAGTGCATCGCTACTAGTAACAAGTGCCTTACTAGTAGTAACAAAGAAGCTATTAGAAACAAGAAGCTACTAGGCTACTAGGAAAAGTTGTTGTTGTTGAGCCCCTTGGAGGCATGGACACAATGAAGCATTGTCCTCCGCCAAAAGTTAGCTCATCAAGTAGTTTCCTCAGCGCATAGATTTGTTTGCGACACTTGGTTCTTCTTGTCCAAGGTCATTATGGTTGCTCAGAGAAGCAGATTTGAAGGAGCGTGGTGTTGAGTTCCCACCTTCCTTTCGGACAAAGATGCTTTCTCACTGCCAAATCGAATTGGGTGGCAAAGTTCTTTCTAAACGCCGCTTCAATCCCGAATTCAATATGACCTTTGAGGTGTTAAAGTTTCTGCAGTCTGCGCACAGCAACGGGATTTTGACTTGCGAAGGTTTCTTTTCGTTGGAACCTGTTCAGTTGACGATATTGAAACAGCTGCTGTCCGATTTCGATGTCACAGTGGTCTATGTGTACCGGAGTCCTTTACCAAAGATGCTTTCGCAATGGCGTTTCGCCAGCAAACACGAATCTATACGAGAGGGCCTTGCAGAATACTTTTGGACTTCCAGCTGGAACCAGGCAGCAGATATCGACAAATTTATTGATGCGTTTGGGCGCGAACACGTGCGCATTCTGGACTATGAAGGCGTGTTGCTTGCTGGGGAGAACTTGGCGAATGTCGCTCTTCAAGTTGTTTTTGGAAACAGTTCAGCGTTGGAGCTTCCAAGCGACAACATTGTGAACCCTTCCGAAGTACCCACGTACTATCACATACGGTCTGTGTTTGGATACTTTTCAAGCTTTGTGCGCGCTAAGTATGGGTGCAAGGTGGTGCGGAACATTTCATTCAACTACTAGGGTTTGTATTTAGCGCAATTTGCGAAGCAGATTCCTTTGAAGTCGTCTGGTACAGAGCCGCTGTTCAAGGAAGGCGCTTCGGCATATGACGCTCAGCTACGGAAGCAATATTGGGATATCATCTGGTTTGGCGGACCGGGGCAAAAAGCAATGAAGTCTTCAATTCTTCCTCTGTATGTGCTTGACATCCCTCGTTTGGAGGACAACTTCGATTGGTGGGCATCACGGTTTGAAGAACAGTATGCCAAACGTGGACAAGCTGGGCAAATTGAATGTGCATAGACATCAAAAGCTGGATGGAACGGCAGCAAAGACCAGCGTGTCGTCATTTGTTTGCGGCGCAAGTTGTTCGATTTTGCGGGGCCCCATTTGGTGGCTTTAAACCCCCTTGTTGTTGTTTGTTGTTGTCCTTTGTCTCCATCTCTCTTCTGTATGCTTGGCTGAGATAATTCTGCCTTGTCTCTGGCACAATTCACACCACGTTTTTTCGTTTAGTTCAGCCCAACTTGGAGTTACTTTTTCAAGCGCGCGTGCTCATGGCTCAGGACTAAATGGACCTGTGACAGTTCCCATTTCTGTTTTGCTTGAATCCACTGCAAAATCACTGCAGGATTGACTTTTTCCCCATCGCGCATGTCTGGTATTGAGAGACGGCCAAACCCCTAGATGCCGTCAAGATTTGAGGCTCACCATGTACCATCTTGCCACAAAAGCAACAAACAAGCCTTAATGGTCTCAAGTGCTAATGGGTCCATTGAATTCAGGGAAGAATGGACACTGATGAAACAATGACCGTGGAAGGGTCATTGATGGGTGGAATCACTGTTTTCGTCAATGCCAGTGGCAGGAGACAAGTTGGTGTTGTTGCATTCCCGCAGCAACACGTCGTGTTTGTTCACATGGCCTCAAACAGAAACCCATTTTGGATTATGACACCCATGCAATCAGAGTATTATGCACTCTACAGTGCTCACATTGCCATGCTCCCATGCTCAAGCGCCGGAGCCAGCTTTCATAGAGCTCCGCATCAAGGACCGTGCCAAGGAAATCGCCGGGTGGAACTTGATGTTTTCATCCTTGGATGGCTTGGATATGGATGAGGATGTCCATCTCAAAACCCCAACGCAACCCTTGCAATTTTGGTGGGTTTTCAACTTTTGTAGTTACTTTTATAGTGTCAATGGACGTGCAGCAACAGGCCACAGAATATGTACAGCACGTACACTGTGCGTGTGATGACTTAACTTTGGCTCAAGTGCGCTCAGCATAGAAAAGTATCGCGAGTTGCTTTGCTGTGCATGGAGCGCAGGATAGCTTTGTTAACTGTCGGGTTACAAGGTTAATATCCACTCGCAGCTTATCAGCCATAGCCGCTCAGAGGTTACGAGCTTCAAAATAAACCGAAAGACAGAATTGTCGACATTTGACCTGCAATGTCTAGTTCCAGAGGAAAGAGCAGTGAACAGTTTTCCCTTGCTGCACTTGGAGGACCTATGCCTCAACCGTCGCCAGGATCATTGACTGGTGCGAGTTCAGCAGATGCTACAGTAATGACTATGCCGACAGGTTCACAAGTTTCAGGTGAAGGTAGGGTCTTTCCACCGGAGCAGGCTGCTACCGGATCCAATGCAAGAACAGGCGGCGCAAAGAGAACATTGAAGAGATTCACGAGATCAACATCGCCAAGAACGAACATTGATAGATCGCCCAAGAGAAGTATTGAGAGAGTTGAGATTGAGGACGCGAGAGGTTTCGAAGAAAGAGAGATGCAACTCATCGAGGAACTAGGATCAGCCAGAGTTTCGTACAAGTATTTGCCCGATGAGCACAGTTGCCTACAATGCTGGATACGCAAGTCTCTATTCGAGATCGCAGGAAGAATTTTCGCAAATGACAATGTGCAACAAGTCCATACACGCTCACCTACAAGAGATGATGCAAGAAGACGAAGGAGCAACTATTAGAATTGGGGAACTTGATGAATCAATGGCAGATCACATATACTCGGTACGAAGAGCTTGCTCAAGAAAGTCACGAAGAACATTCACAGCTCGACGAGGTAAGATCCAAGATTTAAAGACATGACCAGTGAGATGCAGAGCGCTTTTCACTACATCCAAGAACAGAATCAGAACTCTGATGCTCCCAATCGACGTGTCATCAGTGTTGCAAATCAGTTCCAATCGCGAATGTTAGAGCTACAGGACGAGAATAGCAACATGTTGGAGGTAGCGCAGAGGGAGGGAGAGAGAGAGAGAGAGACAATGGGATAGTGAGATGCATCAAAGGCAATTGGTCGATGAGATAACTGAGACCACCGGTGATCAGTACCAGGAACGAAGGATGGTCGAACATCTTCGTGGACTAATTAGCAATACTTAAAGGATTATCGAACATCTCCATAGCCATTTTGGCTCAAGCCATTTTGGCTCAAGGGGCCATGACGCCCGGCTACGGTCCCATGACAACGGCGGTGTGCTGCTTGGCCTGTGCCTAGGTCTTGCTGGCAAGTCGGGGTTCGAAGGGTTTGATTCCCTTGGAAACATGGTGTGGCTTGGTTGGTGCGAACGGGGTTCAACTCCCCGGAGATCTGGCCTGGTCCGGCGGTTCATTCTGATCGCGGGTTGCCGTCAATGCTTACCTGGTGTTTGGCTTTGGTGAGCGGAATTTCTTGCCAATTCGTTTTACGATTTGCAATTTTTGGTAACTTCATTCTCTTTGTGATGGATTTCGTCGGCCGCTGGTTGGGCGGCCTTCACATGCCGGCCTTTCCTCTGCTACACGCTGGTTTGGCCCCCGTCGCAATGTAGCTGGGCCGGGATTCTTGCCTTTTTCCTCGAGTGGTGCTTGTGCTGCTCACTGCCTAGGGCCTCGGGGCTTGGTAAGCCTCGACATCTCTTGGCTGTTTATACCGCGGATTTATCCGGCAGGTTGCAGTCCTCAATAATCCTAATCCTTATACTTAAAGGATCAGAGCTTAGTGCCGCTGCGGAGATGAACGCACGTGACTTCAACCAGAAGACTGAAATCCACGGATGTCAGTTGGAGATCACCGAGAAGGAGATGAGAGCGCAACAGTATCAATATGAAGCAAGGGTGATGGCTGAAGCCATGGGAACACTTGAAAACACAATGGATGGCATTCATCGACAAGCCAAAGAAGAAGAACAACAACAACTGAAAGATGCCAATCTTGCTCTTACAGAGGCCAACAAGGTACTGAAGAGAGAGAACCTTTTGAGAACTCCCGCCTTTGATGGCCGTGAAGGAGCAGAAGTCAAAGAACAGATCCAAGAGCTCGAGCAGAACCTGCAGGAAACCGGGAAGGAGTTGCGGGAAACGAGATGGGAGAACGCGCAGATGAAGCAAAGCTTCGTCATGACCAAACGTACACCGAACGTGGTCGGGACGGCAGTCGTGATGGACGAGGGTTACCAACCCGTCGGCCAGACGACGAAGAGAGTTCACGTCTGAAAGAAGATGTAAGGTACTATGAAGGTGAAGCTCACAGACTGAGAACTAGCCGAGGTGAGATGTTCTCCCTTAGCCTTTCACAATCAACCCGCGACCTGCCTCCATGATCCTTGTGATGACATAGCCAAAGTGATTTTGGAGGAGAACTGGTTCTTCCCGTTTGAAATTTTGGCCAGGTACTTCCGATCTGCGCTTCACCATTGATACCGTGTTTGCCACAAACATGAGGTATGAGCTTACGTCCAAAGACCCACCCCTCTTCTTCATCGAGCCTCATTGTGATGGCAATGTCACCGTTCGGACCAACTGGGATATGAACGTCCATGATGCTTGTGTACGGGGTCGTGAGAATGGCTCTTGCTTCTGCACCTTTCGGGGTCATGAGAATGGCTCTTCAAATCTGCTCTGTTCCCGGTCTGGTTGGTAACCTCCCACGTATCATATCTCTTGATGTCTGGTCTCAATGGCCTCTTGATCAGTGGTTCGTTGAATATGATCTCACCAATGTCATCATCAAATGAGACCTTCCTGTTCTTCACGTTCTTCACCTGCACGCTGGCTGCGATTCCTTCTTCATCAGACTCCTCCAAGAAAGATAAGTCTCCCACCGCTGGAGCTCCATGTTTTGCCTTAGGCTTTGGCTTGGGCTTCGGCTTTCGCTTGTCTTCATCAGTATCAGCTGCTGCACAAGTCCCTTTCTTGGGCGCTGCCTTCGGGTCGTGATCGAACTTGCAATCTTTTCCTTTAGGGCAGTTTCCTATGATCCAACTCCAGCAAGCAACCTTTCCTTCACGACCTGGTGAACTACTCCTTGATGGGGTTCTTGCTTTCTTGTGGCTGTATGGACATCATTTTCCTTGGGTACATTTCCCCTTGACATAGAACTTGCGTGGGATCTTCTTCTTATCTATACTTGTACTTCTGCCTCTGTCTTTGCCGTCGCCTTTGCCCTTTCCTTTCCTGTCTTCAGGATGTTTCTTCAGAATCGGTTTAGGCTTGACAAGGCTTGCTTCTTCCGTTTCACCCAAGCCAGCTGATGGCTTCGGCTTCTTCTTCGGTTCATTTGGTGCGGCCTGTGGCTTGAGGTTTTGGAATATACTGGCAACCTTCTTGACAGCTTTCTCCTTTTCGAGGAGCATTTTGTCTTCAGTCTGTCTTTCGATATGTCTTCGGATGATGTCACGAATGTTCTGGTATGTCTTCTTGGGATCTCCTTCATTGAGGCTGTTGTACGTATGCATATCAAAAGCCATCAAATTGGAATTCCTTACCTTCCTCCGTAGAAGATCTCGCAGGGTCTCTTGGGATATCCGTTGGTTTCATCCCTCCTATGATCTCATCTCATGTGTGGAAGAATGGAGATAGATTCCTGTCTCCTTGGTGCTCCAACTGGTACAAACGCATGGATGTGTACAAGACCTCAACGTTGGATGTTGTCTTGAAATTGAAAAGAATCAGTGCCAAGACCTCTCTTCCTTTGATAAGGGTGGAGGCCCTGCCTTTAGCATTGATGCGGGTCCTCAGCT